GAATTATAAGCATAGTATTCACAGCTTAGTTGGATTACATAATATTACACCATGGCGCTTCCGAAAATAACTACTCATTTGTCTTTTTTGCTGTCCACCAACGGCGGTACAATCCAAATTCAATACAGGCGGACAAAATGAGAAAGGGAAAAGTTAACAGTTTTGGAATTATAACAAGTTTAAGGGTTAATACGTGAATGATAACAACACTTTACAGATATATCCCAGTCAGGTGACCCAACGCGCTCTCTGATTTTACGCTGACCCTGAATGTAAAGGCTGAAATGAGAAAAGTTCTCATCTATCCTATCAAGTGAGGCTAAAATATCACGATTTTAAAAAAAAAGCCTCAACGAGGAAAGCCTGAACTTCGCTTTAAATAATGAATAATCTGAATGAATGTTCTCCGTATTTTAGAAAAAACGGTGACTTCTACAGCCACCAAATTTTAAACACATGTAGCTTAGATAAGCGAGAATTTAACGAATTTGTTTCTTATTAACTCTTTAACTTGAGCGAAGCTAAAGAAAATTTATTAACAATTCAGTAATTTTAAGCAATGTGTCGCCATTCGGCGAAGCGTCAGATGTTTATGTTTAATCAGAAAACTCAGTGATTTAAAACCAATGTGTTGCCAACCCCGAAATAAAATATTCTTATCTTCCACGAGCCACTGAGTTGCCATTCGGCAGACACTACGATATTTTATTTTTCTCCGAATTTAATCTACTATTCTTTAACAAACTAAGCGATTTCAAAGCAGTAAACGTACCTCTTCATTTCTCTTATTTTCATTTTAATTACTAGCTGTACACGAGAAATGACACTGGTTACATTCCATATTTTTCCTCTCTTCATAATAAATATTATAAGCTCCTAAAAAGTGTAAAATATAATTTTTCTATTGCAGAACGATGGAAAAATTATTATCCCGAATAATTAGCGTAAAATAAATCTCTACGGAAAATGGAAAAAGGAAAACCAAACCGCACGGAGCAACAAAAGATGACGTCACAAAATTCCGTATTCCCCCCAGTACGTAATTTAATTGTACATAATTCTGAATATATTAACTTTTTGCTATCCTCCGAAACACGCACTTTTTACCCTCACTAAATAAATACACTAAAGTAGATGACATTATTCAAATTACTTTATAAATATCGTTAAAAATATCTCTAAATAGTTAAATCCTATAGATTGTGTATTGTTTTACTTTTTTTTTACATTTAGAGTAATAATTTTAGGATTGATTTTACTAGTAATGGAACTTGTTTATAGTTTCCTTGTTATTATTTAGTTACGTGTTTTGCATTTAAGTGATTAAATTACTTTCTTGTATAAAATTGTAGATCTTTCGAATTTAAACACAACAGCGTTAAAATTATTAAAATAGCTCAACTAAAACGTGAAATCCTGACAAAAACGCTTCTGATGGGAAAATGGCGACATTTTTCACTGGCTGGATCTTATTTTCTTCGAAGTTTCTAGAAGGCCGTGCAACACCATTTAAATACAACTCCGACAGCCTTATGTTCAGTTTTCTTAACAAGACGACCAATTTTGTTCTCATTTTAGCTCAAATGAAATTCAAAAACAAACTCACAAAGATCTTTAAAAACAATACATTTTCAGATTTCCGATAGTGTGTTTAAGCGTTGCCATATATTTTCCCAGATTCCTTATATTACTTATATTTGCTAAATTATAGATTTAAGAATAACACATTATATATTTTTACACGAAAATCTGTTCACAGCTTCAAGTATCACTTCAGATTTATCAACTTTAGCCACAATCTACTATTTGTTCTATTTTAGAGTACTTTTCCATTAATATTTGTTGTGGACTCCAAGTAAAGAACCAATTTTGGCCGTCCATTAAAAACTGCTACGGTTTTTAAGTGCAATAGCACTACCGATGGTCCGTTAAAAACTGTTACCGGCTTCAGGTAAAGCTGTCCAATATTACCCGAAATCCAATCAACTCATCATAGAAATCCAGAAATCTTAAAGACGGAAAACAAAATTTTTCGATGTTTGATATAAGAGTTAACATGGACGAAATCTCATTACAAATCACAAACAACAATCACTTAATACAACCGAGACACAAATTCGTGCTCATTCACTGAAAACCCATTATCGAAATTTTTGGGCTGAAAACATTACCTCTCTCTCTTTACATACCGCATTTGCCAGCGTATAAAGACGCGCTTTTTTTCTTTGAAAGTAGGTCTGAAAAACGGGGTGCGTCTTATACGTCGATACTGCGTCTTATACATTCAATACTCGGTTTTTGATTACATTCATTTCTGAAAATTTCGTCTATTCGGAGTTATGCAATTTTTTTCCTTGTTTCCTTGATGAGTGAGGGAATGTTACAGTTACGTAGAGTTCAGTAAATGCGCATGCGCTGTCACCGACGATCACAGCAGGTTTCGTTTAACTTTCAAATTTTTGTGAACTACTTTTAAATGCATGACATTTCTACTGTTCAATTTATTTTTTAATTTGTTGTAAAATTAAGGCTCAAAAACAACACCGGCATTGCTATAACATAGCAAACAAGCTACGTGTGATTGCGTATGCTAAAGAATATGGAAACAGGGCTGCAGAAAGGCATTTCGGGTCACCCCCCCCAACTGTGAAAATGATAAGAACTTGGCGGAATCAGGAACAGGATCTAGAAAGAGTAACTCATAGTAAACATAACCTACGAAGGGGAACAAGTCTTTTCATTTAGCTCTGGAGATGGGTGTCTGGGTTCTGACGAAGAAGATTAAAAGGTGTTCTTTCCAAGATAGATTTTGTATTTCCAGAAAGTATTACTTTATATTTAAAATATTGTAAATTCATTATAATGATCAGTAAAAGTTTTATCCTTCAAAACTGTTTATAAAGAAGAGGTGCGTCTTATACGCCGACAAATACGGTATATACAGATTGGTGGGCAGTATTGTAAAACATTTAAGTGCATAAAAACTGTGAAAGCTAAAACTAATAATATTATATTAGACAAGGGGAATGTGTGCGCCGTGAACGCAATGTTAAATACGTGGTTTTATTATTATTATTATTTGTATTCGATTGATATTTTTGATGCAAACTGATGAAAGAATCTGATGTAAAGATATTCCGATTCGGTAGGGTACGAACTACGCCAAATTTGATCCAAGATACCCGTGCCTCTCTCATCTAACCCACGAACTGCGCGTCGTTTCATGTCCCCTATTTCTTTCCCAAGAATATTAGGTGCTACAAAAAGTCATTTATCGCCATTAATGGGACATTATATTGAGACTGCAAGCCATTATTTTCGTTTATCAATATTGTAAAAATTGTGCATGCAAAAGAAATATTAATTTAAAGTCTGGCGTGTGCTAAAGTAAAAATAAATTTCTTTTACACTCACTTTAAAGTTTTATAATGCTTAAAGGAATGATAAGCCAGATCTTTTTTATTTTTGTAAGAATTAAAAACTTTCCAAGTTGTAGATTTTAGTCGCTGATCAGTTTTGAATAGTAAAATTGATAGATTAATGACATACACAAAACTGATACATAATCAACTTATCAAATATCGGATTTGTAGCTCACCTTAAATAAGTTTCTTTTCTAGATAAATATTAACAAATCTTCTTAGAGAGTAGAATGGTTTTAACTTTCAAATTTACCATTTTAGGTAAACAGTTCTAATTTAATTAAAAAAATTCTCTTTATTAAATCTAAAAATTGGACTCAAGTCGTTCTAAATTCACACTAATATTATTGCAATATATTCCCGTATTAAGCTTTCCATTTTTAGTCATTGAAGTTATTTTAAGGTTATTTAACTTTGTTACAAATTTCATATTTTAATACTAGAAACGTTTAAATATTTATTCTGTTTTCCACCTGATGTACTTTGGCATACATTTAATTTCCAATACACATTTAATTAATAAATTGATAATTATGAGCATCAGCAAAATTTTCATAATTAACAAAACAAACAAACAAACAAACAAAAAAAAAAAAAAACTCCTTTGTATTCATATCCGGGGATTTTCAGTTCCCTTTTAATCCATTCCTTTTTCACATATTGTTGCACTGTACTCAAGTTTACATGTATGTAGAATTTAGATACTTTCTATTGTATCTATGCCAATTTATATTTAAATGATAATTTTTACAAATTCTTGCATCAAAACTCTAGTTAGCAGAAGATGTTTCTAACACCTTGGCAAAGCTTAATCTTCAGCATGTAGCTTATTTTCTAACCTAGTTTCAGGCTGAATTATTTGTGAAATTAATTACTTGATATTATTTCTTAACAAAGATGGTCGTTAAATCACGCTAATAATATTTCTAACTGTTGTAATTTATAATGCAACGAGTTAATGTGATTTATAATATAATGTATTTATAATTTTTTCAGCAGTATTGAAATTAATAGCAGATACTGATAATGTTATACATTTAGATTACAATGATTTAGATTGTCATTGCCTTCTTCACTCATGCTTTTATACTACATTCCTAAAATTTCATAATGGCATACAGGTAAGTTTAACTCATTCATAAACATGTAAATCTCTAATTCAGCCCACTTTTGTTCTTACGTGTGCTATATCTTCTATTTTCTTTAATATATTCCTCAGGCTAATTTCAAAAGGTCGTTTGATCAGATCAAGCGGAAAAGTCACTAAACATTGGTAGTTAGACCCGAGTTTCTAGTCCCAGTGATTCCCAGCTCTTTCTTTTTTTTTTTACTTATTTACTGTGTAAAAATGTAGCGTAAAAATTTCAGTTCATGAAGCAAAAATACTTTTTAAATTTATTCTTTAAAAATATTGCAAAAAGTTTCACCTTTACCTTAGCATATCCTTTTACAAATCCCTCTATCCAAACAGATCATTGATTTAAAGCATTATTCCTTTCGGTATTGGTGCTTACTGACAGTAATCAAAATAAACAAATAAAAGTACATGCAGGAAAATGGGAAAGATAGAAGACTCACCTTTTAACATCTTATCGTCATCTTCAGACTCCAGTTTTCTGGTCGCAATATCTTCCTCCAGATCAGCGTAATCTGGGAAAAAAATTCTATAAATCAAATTGCTGTGAATGTTTATAGTATAAGACATTTAAATATAAAAATTGATACTACCTGTAAAAGAGCTAAACGTATTTATTTCAGAAAGCAAATCATCAAAGCTACTTTGTGTGTGTGTGTGTGCAAGCAATGAAATGGAGAAAAAGCAATTACGAATGCCGTGAATTATAATGAATAAGAAAATCATGAAGCTTTCTTTGCACGCCTAAAAATTTATAAATTGTTTACTTTAGTAATTTATTTTACACATATATCCATCATACAGATATTGTTATCGATTCGTCAATGTCTCGCCCCTCTGTATACAAAAATATAGAAAATACATCGGTTAGTGGGATTAACGATTGAATTTATGAGTTCAAAATATAATAGAATAAACTTTTTAACTGAAGTAAAGACGCCAAATAAGTTTAAAATGCATTATAATTTGCCACGTGACAGGGAAATGGCATTCAAAAACGGATTAAGCTGTCAAATAGCTCGGTTTCGATTTTAACAACCATTTAAAACTAGGAAAAAAAAGAAGACTCAGCGCGACGTAGATTTTCAATAATTGTCATTCTGATTTCAAGCACAGGTCATTCTTCTTCAGAAGAAAATCCCCGAAAACATCTACCCTAATCTAAAGTTTTTAAAATTTTACATTGACTAGTCCTCTTCCAATCAGGGAGGAGCATTAAGACATAGATTAAATAAATTAAAGAAATGTTATGAATCATTCATAAATGAACTTGTTTTAAAAACATGATGAACAGATATATTTATATTAAAATAGTTAAACTGCATTGCTGTTTTGTCGGATTCTCCCCTCTCCTTTATCCTTTAATGTTTTCAAAACAGCCGTGGACAAGCATGATCACATTAAGCAGCGCCTACTGTATATACGTACATACATACATACATACATACATACATAGATATGTACCTACATACGTAAAACATACACACACAGCATACATACATACACTTCTTCATACATACATACCTACATATGTACACACGTACATATACAAACATATATAACATACATAACATACAAACATATATAACATACATAACATACAAACATATACACATAACAAACAACATAACAATGTAGAATAACAAACGCAACACACAAACATATACACATAACATACAAACAAACATACATACATACATACACAAACACATAGATTCTTCATTATAACAGAAATAAGGAACAAAATTGACAGCATCAACTTAATGAAAATGCCTTTTCGGACGTTAACAATAAATTATACAGTGTCAAGAAATTTCTAGAGATTACACAAGACCCTTCTAGAGATTTCACAAAAAATAAGAAATCTAAAATACAAAGCTTTATATTCTCAGAATGAATTTACATAAAAATAAAAGTGAGGACCACCCAGAATCATTAGATAATCCATTAAAAAGTAATTTAGAGACTGCCAAATAGTGAAACGAGACAAAATGTTTAAAAAAAAACTTACCAATTATCACACCAAGATCGGTCGGCTGCCTGGCAAAATTTAAAAATCAAGAAACCGTCAATCAGACTACGCCAAATTCTTCGTTCTCAACAGGTTGTTTCTTAGAAAATTCATTTCTCCCAAAACTAATTATAATACCTTTTTATGCATAGTTGAACTTTTATTTATTTATTCATCAATTCCTTATTTTGTATTTATATTTACTCTACAGCCGTAGTCTTCAACCTTTGTCGATTCACAGAGCCTTTAGAACTGTAAAGATTTTTTTCATGGATCCCCATCCCACCCTTAGAAATGTACATCTTAAAATAATACTTAAAGTGGATCACCTTTTATAAATTAAACAGACGATTAAGACAAAAAAGTACTATATTTATTATTAAAAATTATTAGCATAAAATTAGTGTAATTTACACGTTAGTAGCATTAACTCGTGCTCCAAGTCTCTCTTATCTTTCCAGAATATTCAGTGACGGGGGTGTGTCTGACCCCCCCCCCCGTCTTTTTTTTTTTTTTTTTTTTTTTTTTTTTTTTTAAATACACACAACGTGTCCAAGTCTAACTGTGTTCATGTTATCTGCAACCGTACTTCGTAAACTGCCTTTAATTTATTTCTATATTTTGTATTTGTTGTAACATTTCTTCAGAAAGATTTTTCATTTGTTCAATTCGTTGTTTCGAATGGCATTAAAATGTTTATAGCTGTGTGACAAAATTCTAGGTAATTTGCATGAATCCGCAACGAAAAATTTAGGAAGTGTTTAAATTTAGATTTTAACGTCGAATCTATTGATATGCTGTTCCTTTTTCTTCACCGGCATGCTCTCCGATTTATTGCAGTTTTTTTAATCCAGTCATACTAGTTTTCCCTTCTAGAAAATATTCTCTCTCGTTTAAATTCAATTAATTTTCCATTAGAAAACTGTTTTGTTTTGCAAAGCATTACACATCAATTCTCTTCGACATATGATGACCACATGTTAAGTTTTACAACTTAATCTGTAACTAAACGTATCTTTATACTTTTTTAATTAATTAACACTAGTCAGCTAGTGCGAGTGCTACATATTTTACTTCCCAAAATTTTATTTCGACTACGGAACCTTGGGGTTTGAACCCCGGGGTATTGCGGAACACAGTTTGAAGAGGTAGATTTCGTAATTCTTACAAAATTGATTTTTTAAATTTAGAAATTCCTAAACATGAATATTTGCGTTATTAAAAAAAATTGGAAACACGACCAAGATAGCGAAAATAAAGGCCAAGGATCTTAGCGGACACAGTTTAAATACTTAAAATAATAAAAATTACACAGCAAGTACAAGTTGTATTTTATTTTCTGTGTTTTAGTCTCAGTGACACGTTAACAATAGTGAAATTTTCAGTCGTTATTAAAACACTAACAATAAATTACACGAAAATTATGAAACAAAAAAGAATATCAAAACGCCTATTAGATAATGAAGAAATCGTTTTGATTATTAAATTCCGGAAACTGGATGTAATAACAATGCTACAACGAGCATTTCATTTGAAACTAAGATTTTAAAAAAGAGAGAGACAGAATATCGACAAATATCAGTTTGTCATTAAATGAATCAAAGATGGCAAATTCCTACATTAAATGGGTGAAAATGGCGAGCTCAAAGCTAAAATTTCTTCAAGAAAACCTTTTCTTCCGTCTGCTTCAGACTGCAACACATTTGTTAAAATAAAATGCTGAAAATTGTTCAGTTAATATTTTATTACTTTTATTATAGCTTTAAAAGAGTGCAAAATGTTCATTTTATAATCTGTGAAATTTTCGAAACACATAACAAGTTTTAAAACCGATACACTCTTAGATCTTGGTCTTTTAAAAAATCACAAAAACGTCTAACAATCTAAAAAGAATTGAGAAATTTTAAAAATTTCGCCAAAAATTAAGAAGTTCAGGCACAATTTTCGTATAAGTGTTACTGAAAAGATTTTCATTATATTAGATCGTGCAAACGGTGGAACTTCTGATACGCTTACTTTGTTCGTTGAACGAAGATATGTACGAAAAATAGTTTAAACATTAAATATTTAAAAAGAGTAGTCTAAATGAAATTTTGAATAAAGAAATCGTTTCAACACCTTGCATATTTAATTGAGAATGTATGTGCAAAATTTAATCTTATTAAAAAGTAAATTAAAAATCGATGACAAAATTCCACCCACAGTGAAACACTGAGTGAGCTAGATAAAGAATTGCACATCATTTGCAAAGTGCTTGAGTTTTAACTGTTTCCGGTATACGCCTCCGAATTAATGATTCTTATCAGCAACGTTAGTTTCTGCAAATATGTGTAAGTAAGAAATATGGGATTACTAAATATGAAATCTTTTTTTTTTTTTTTTCTATACCTTATCAATGCTTGGGATGAATGCTTTTACTTTCCTTGCCCAAGTTTATCGCGAAATTGTGACACTCGTTTCTGTTGTCAAAACAAATTTCAAACAGAAAAATAATCGCGACAAACTTAAACGCTTTATTTTGTTTTCTTCAAAAAACACAGCTTCAGCATCAAAAACTTACTGATAAGACCAACTGATAATAAACATTCAAGAATTATCTTAAGGGGGGGGAAGACTTTTATCACGGCATTTATAGAAAGGCTGTTTAATGACGAGAATGTTTTCAATAATTTGCTTTGGCCGATGACTTCAAAACACGGAAAAAAAGCTTCAAATACTTTTTAATAAAAGAGACAACGAGAAATATAAATTTCTAGGCACACATTTTCTCTATTCATTATTATTATTATTTTTTTTTCCCTTCAAGTCCAATTAACTGTCCCGCTAATACTGATTGAGTCTGGTTTAATCATCGTCCTGGTTAATCGGGAATTGACTCGAATTCCGGTTCGCCCTGCCAGCACTGATTCAAGTCCAGGTAATCAGGAGTTGACTTAAGTTCTGGTTAGTCGCCCCGCTAGTACCGAATCGAGTCCAGGGTAATCGGGAGTCGAGTTAGGTTCTGATTACTCGCCCTGCTGATACTAACTGTTGTCTCAGTTAGTCGGGTGTTGCTTCAGGTTAATCGCCCCGCTAATACTGACTCGAGTTCCGGTTAATCGTGAGTTTACTTGGGTTCCAATTAGTCGCTCGGTTCGTTGACTCGCGTTCCAGTTAGTTGCCGTTTTGGTTAATCAGGAGATGACTCGATTTTCGGTTAATTGCACCACTAATACTCATAAAGTCCCGGTTCATCGGGAGATGACAAGGATCCCGATTAATCGTCAAGATTAATCGGGAGTTGACTACGTTTCCGAATTTAAGAAAAGGGTTTATTGTAATCAACAAGCTTGGTTATTTAAAAGAAATATGTTGTCACTGCTCCAAAAAAATATTTTTTTCCTCCACGCCCCGGTGCGTTGCCATTCGACAAGGAGTTTGTATTTTGTTTTACGGAAATAAAGTGTTTGTTTTTAACTATATCATCTACGCTGAAGCAAAATACGATGAAAGAAAAAACTAAAT